GCAGTAGAGCAGCCTCACTAGGAGCAGAAGTCAGAGCAGGCACTTTGAAGATCACACACACACACACACACACACACACACACACACACACACACACACACACACACACACACACACACACACACAGAAACAGTAAGCATGAAACACAGAAGGAAGGAATTGAAGGAAGTGAAGGAATTAAACATTGTAGCTAATTTATGGCATAATATGCCCTTCTTTACTAGATATAGTAGTCTGAGTGTTGATAGGGTGCCTAATAATATGACATGAATCATTTTCCCATTTTTCCCCAGATGGAAGTTAAATTTGTAACTTTATTCCAGATTTGAACAAAATAGTATTTTTTACATAAATGGTTAAATCTTTGACAGTCACTTAATTGTATTATTTATTAAGTGTGTATATATTTATACCTGTAGTATACATTGCTGCATGGTGTCAATGTCTATGCAAGAAACACATGTAACTGTATGTTAAAGTAACTGTAAAAAATGTAACTTGGACAGTTACATATAATTCAGTCAGTGCTGATTTTATGTTTGATGTGCATTGAGTGTTTGCAGAATATGTATATGTATGAAATAGAATGAATGCATGTATTTATTGTGTGTGTGTGTGTGTGTGTGTGTGTGTGTGTGTGTGTAATGTGTCAGTGGTAATAAATGCAGTGTGTGAGGATGTTTTGGTCAGTGAGAGCTGAGGGGTGTGAAAGGCCCAGGTTGCTGCAGTAACAAGGCTAATGAATTCAGCCTCTAATCGATTGTTTCGGCTCAAACTCGCTGGAGGGAATGTTGGAGCACCAGATCCAGCCTTAACGAGATTAAAGCTGCTTCATCTGCACATCTGGGCTACTGTCAGCTACTGCAGCACACTTGAGAACATGGTGGAGCATGGGAGGGCAGAGTGAGCGAGCAAGAGAGAGAGAGAGAGAGAGAGAGAGAGAGAGAGAGAGAAGGGTGGAGCAAGGGTGAGAGAGGGTGAGGAGAGGAGAGGGCAGGGATGAGACTTCTTTTTCCTAAAGGCTGAGATTGTTACTGATTTAAAGCATACAAACAATGTCTGTGCCTGTGGTCAATATGTATTACAAAACAAGACAAATTGGTTTGTAATGTTAATCAGTGGAGTGGAGGTAAGATGTAAATGCTTTTTTATGTAAGTTTTACCCCCCACACACACACACACACACACACACACACACACACACACACATTCTGCTACATTCATCAATTCCTTTATCCATTATTCCTTCTGTCTCTCCCATCAACGTCCCCATCCCTCCTTCCTCCCTCCCTCCCTCCCTCCCTCTCCTCCTTTCTCACTGTATAGATCTTTTAATTCTTATTCATCCTCTCTGCTGAGCATAAAGTGCTTCATCTCCTGCTTCAGCCTGATCCTGACACCAAAAAGAAAATACCCGTGATTGACAGCTGAGCTGTATCCTGGTGATACCCGTGTGAGCTCACGACGATCTCGCCTACCGGGGCCGGCGCACACCCCCCCATCACACATCCGCACGACGCCCAAATGAACCTTCTCTGCGAACTGAAGGAGGCGCAAACTCTCCTAATCAGCCCCTGATTACGGCGCCGCCGCCTGGTTAAAGGGTCGCGGTAATTGTGCCATCAGAGGCCTGATTGTTTTCCATCAGACGGTGGCCAGAGTGACAGCTGGGGGCCGATCCACGGCAGCCTAATCAACAGTGCAGGGAGGAAGGCATGACTGTGAAAATGAACAATCACACTGCTCAATACCGCCTGACATGCACACAAACACTCACACACACAATCTCTATCTCCTTCTCTCTCTCCCTCTCTCTCTCTCTCTCTCTCTCACTCTGTCTCTCTAACACACACACACACACACACACACACACACACACACACACACACACACACAATAAATACATGCATTAATTCTGTTTCATACATATGCACATTCTCTCTCGCTAAAACACACAGGTGCTGTGGAGCAGCACTGTCTTGCATCTTTCACAGTGCTGTTTGGTTTACCTCCGGGCCATGCAGCATCTGCTGTGGCTGTATCTGAATGCTGTTCAGATAAGTAAAGTTCAGACGCATTCTGCTAATGCCATCTCAGACCCAGCAATGCCTTTGGAGAGAACCTACACTGTAGTCCCATAAGTGAACTTTGCAATCAGCTGACGGGGTCTGTTCTCCACCTGAAGCAAAATCACAGTGAATGTGAAAAAAAGGATACTGTTGTCACTTAATCATAATGGTGGATCTAATATACTGACAAATGCCACTAAGAGTAATAATAATACAACGGTAATAATAATACAAGTTTTTTTTCCCTGATGGCTGTCGAAGGTCATATCTAGGGTCGTATGAGGTTCACATTTCATAGGACAGATACCCTGTCTATAAAGTCAGGAAAGTCAAAACATAATCAAGATTGAGTTCATTGTTAATACCTGCAAATATAGACTCAGCATCTCAATGGTGCACCTGACATCTACTTATAATATTATTTTTCTAAAAGTCTAAACTGGGTGGATCTAAGTTGGATGGATCTAATGGATGATAATGGTGCAGGGAGTCTGGTCTTTTCTGTACTAAAAAAGTCAGAAGACTGAACATGTGTTTTAGGACAGGGCATATTTTCACTGTCTGCTCTCAATCCCCCTCATTGTGGGTCCTCGCAAAGCAGTTGCAGATCTTTCTCAGTGTTTTTGTGGAGGAACACAGAGCTCTTCAATCCGACAATGCTACAACACTTTCTCGAGCTAATTTCTTCTTTCTGGTCCCATTTCCTCTTTTTGTCTGAATTGTTCAACTCAGGGCTGAGTTCCCTGTTCGCTTTGAACTTAAATGTAGCAAATTTCACAGAGGCTATTTATTTTGATTTTAGTGTTTTTAAATCTTTCACTCCCTCCCCCTCCATGCAGAATAGAAACAATGAATGGCACTGTGACAAGGAGCAGAGTGAATCCAAATACAGAGAGATCTCAAGACACCAGAGGTTTGGTTCAAAGAAAATAGAGTTATCTTTACTGGAGATTCATAAAATCCAACACAGGTATAGGCAAAAGTACACACTAGATATGACAGTTCAAAACTAAGTTAAGACATAAACAGGGGGCAGGGCTTACATTACAGAGAGAACAGGTGTAAACAATAATCAATCAACGTAAACAAAAGACGTTAACTAAATGTGACATAGAAAACACTAGAATTTATGTGGCCATCTGGTGGCCAACCCGAGAAGCAGCAGGTACATTTCTGACCAGCACAGCCAGAAGGAATACCAAACAGGACATTTCCTGACAGCCATAATTAGTGGGCGGACTTTTGGTTCCTACTGGGCTGGTCAAAAGGCATGAGGAATTAAAGCAATGAACAATGATGACAATAGATACATTGACATTTGCAAGGAAGTTGATTATCCAGATTCTATGGCCAGACACCTGACAATCCAGTCAGATGGGTTCTTTTTTGAACAGGGAAGGATATAAATTCATAAAACAACACAAAACATGACATAAAATCCCTCTGCCTTCCCATCAGCCTTCAATTTAGAAACTGCTTGCTGAAGGACAGAATAAATATTTTTCATAGAAGAGCCAAAGAACAGAGTGATGATGAGAATTCCTCAGCCTGAATAAACATATCAGATATACAGTGTTAGTTACAGTATGCTGGTGTTTTGATAGTTCTGTTTAAGTGAACAGCATATTCTGTAACTATTACTGGATCTTTCATAGTATGATTATACTGCAACTTGATAAATGTATGCTACTCCTCATCTACACTACAGCAGAAATCCACACCAAAGAGTCCTTGATTCTTGGGTACAATTTAATGCAAAAATATGGACATGTTTATTGTTTGTTTCCTTCTTGTTATATAACTTAACAGAAAACAATACTTGCCATCTCCTTCATGTTCCCTGGGTATTTTTCTTGGCTCTGTTTCCTTGTTACCGAAGGTAGCTGTCTGAAGAGTGAAGAATGAGCTGTTTTAATGGATATTACATTCAGTTCCATTATCTTTACATTCTGTCATTTAGCAGATGCTCTTATCCAGAGTGTCTCACAAGCAAAAGAGAATAAAGGCCTTTTAGGATATTGAGAAAAAAGAGGATATGCCATTGTAAAAACACTAAAATAATGAAAATGTGCTATTTTCACTGTTTAGTAACTTTAGGTTGTCTTCACCTGGTCACTCCTTGGCTAAATGGTATAATGCCAGAGCTGCTGGGTTGGCTGTCTTGTTTTTGTATCCTGCCTGTTAACAGCGTGGAGTTGCAGGATCTACATTTCATAAGGGGAAGTTTAAACCAATTTTACTAGTACACATTCAATATGAGCACAAAAACAATATACAGTGGAATAATTTACATTTCATGTTGATCAGATCTAATTCCTCCAAATGTAAGAACTGTGTACTTATCCTTAATGTAAGTTTGAATGATCTTTCCATAATACCAATATTGTGGTCAGTATTAATTGTTTCAGAAATTATTATGATGTCATGATAATTTCTGTCTGCTGACAGAGATGGAACAAGATCAAATTATTGAGAGGGGTCAATGTGTTAGCATGTGTAGAAATAAATGAATAAATAAATTGTTGGATATAACTGGTGTCCTAGGCAATCAGTCATTATACATGCATAATAGAGGTCACCTATAAATTGATGTTTGCAAGAACAGAGCAAGTTAGAGGTCAAGCAACTTAAAGAATAATGGAGCTTGAAGCAAATGCAATGCAACATATATATTCATATATGTGGATGAGGCAGACTTAAACTTGTAAAACATAAGGAGACATGGAAGCATGTAACATCATTGGTCAAAGAACCACTGTAAATGTGCCACCATAACCATTACATTAGACTATTGGCATTTAGCAGCAGACACTTTTATCTAGAACAACTTATGTCAATTACAGGTTTTTACAATGTTATCCATTTATACAGCTAGATATTTACTGAGGTAATTGTGGGTTAAGTACCCTGCCCAAGGGCACAGCAGCAGTGTTCCAGTGGGGAATCGAACTGTCAACCTCTTGGTTACGAGACCTGCACCTTAACCACTGTGCTATACTGCCACCCCATTGTGTGCTGCAATTCCCAGTGAGGGTGTTCTTACCTGCATTCCCACAACTGGACCATACAACACAGAATCTTATTACATTCCTTTATGCTTTGAATCAGAGCATTTTGCCACTGGAAGGCCTGGTATGTCATACTTTGTAATCAAATTAGACAATGTTGCATTTCATCATTCCCATGAGGTCACTGCATGGTTTGCAATGCACCTACGCATGATGATGCAACTTCTCCCCCACACTCTCCCTTCCTTAGTCTTGTTGAGGACTTCTTCTCTTCATGGAGGTGTGAGGCATATGGCCACTGTCCATATGACCAGATGTTCCTCCTTGGATGCAATGCATGCAGGCAATGCAGCAAAGAATCAAGCTCCTCTACAGAAATGCAACCTTCCTGATACTCTCAATACACCGAATGATAAATCTGGCATAACGCCAAGCTGAGTTCAACACATGCTCACCCTACAGTCTATCACTTTATTCTTTCTTGCTGCCTTATCTAATTGCTGTTAGCAGGAGGGCATTGCAAAACAAAAACAAACACAGCCCCATCCGCTTGGGTTGTCTTCAATTTCCCAGAGCTTTATGCATGTATGACATGGGGTTGTGCTTGAATAACATCCTTAGAATGATTTTGTTTAGTGCTGAAATTTGTGTTTGCTTTTTTTGATTACTCATCTCTGTCTTATCAACTCCTTCTTGTCACTTCCTGCTGTGGTAGCCCGCTCTGTGTCTCATGACTCCACCACATTCTGTTCTTTGACTGATGTTTTCAACCCCACCACAGCATAGTGCTGCATTTCGCCTGGATTAAGCTATAACTGTTCCTCCAGATGACCATAGCCTGTCCCGCAACCATTCTCTGTCTTTGCAGACTTTTTGATATAAAACTGGCTGCGGTCAAACCAAGCAAAAGTAGACATATTTCAAAGACATTAATGGTGGTATAGGGATTTTTTTCCACGAACCTAAAAGTCCCCAAACTTTAACTGATTCATACTTCCTGAGCAAATTAATTTCACACATTTGCTTTTGCCTGAAATGAATCCACTCAGGAAGGATACAGCTCGGAACAGAAAAAACCTACCATCCAGACCAAAAATGCGCTGCTTCGTCTGGAGAGAAATATCTTATGAGCACAAAAACATCCACCAACAGCAAACTGGAATTTTTCCACTGAACTCAGAAAACTTGGTTATCTACCTATTAAAGCCATGATGACCTATGGTGACTGCCATTTTGCTGACATCATTGCCCTCCTGTGTGCTGATGCTAGTTCAGTCTCAGAGAGTGTGCCCATAGGCGTGTGGCACACCCTCCTTCTGTGTGCTGGGAGAGCTCAGCTCTGTCAGAGGCGGCATGTGGTGAAGTCTCTTGGAGATTAGTGAGTTCGACTCCATCAGAGACAGCACCATGCTTTTTTCCACGGGTGGACACACAGCAACAAAGCCTCAGACCAGCTGCAATAACCAACTGGATAATAAATCTTTACATCTGGAGAGCTGAGCAGATGCAGGCTGGGAGGTGGGGAAGCATGTAACACAATAATCCAAACCATGGCAGGCCATCCAGAGAGTGCTCTTCAAAGGAGAGCAGGTATGGCTCATCAAGCAGCACAGCAGTACTAGACCTGTGGACCAATTCTGCAGACTTTAAACTACACAGTATTCCTCCCAAATCATACTAATGTGCAGTATGGGTGCCATCCAGTCACAACATCTGACAGCCTCAAGACAGTTGCTCAAAGGCAGTGACAACTTGCAAATTCACATCCTGTTATCATTTCTTCTTTCAAAATCAGCCACAGACTTTCTCCATTTGTCGCTTATTGGTGACACTACTGAAACAGTTAGGTCAGTAAAACCAACACTCCTGCTGCATGATATTGATATCGGGAAACTATCATTAATCCAAATTAAATCCTAAATAAATAATTGCATTCCAACTGGAAAGCTACATACGCATTACACAAGAAAATTAGCCTACTTTTGTTACTAGACGGTTACAAAGGGGTGTGAGCGGTAGGATTGTAGGAAGACACACGATAGGAGGGCATGGTTTAATTTGATTATGAGCATCTGCTTGTTGACTAATAGTTTGGGATACTGTTAAAACCAGGCGTGTAAAAAGGTCAAAGGCGTTTGTAAGTAGGTGCTCAAATGTGCGTAAGTTTCTCAACCTGGCATTAAAAATGACCGTTACAGCCGAAAATAAACGTCAAAGCAGTTAAAATGCATAGCCTACAACAGCAGTTCCACTGACATCCTTGTCTACAGTCCAAAAAGTAGCTGCAACTTGCGGGCGCTGTTTCGGCTTTGGTCTAAAATGCGCATGTGCGGATGTATAACTCTCCGAACTTTTCTACTGTTTAGCGGCCGCCAGTTGAAAGTACCGTATTGGACCTGCATAAAGATCAACGTGAACTGAATTCAGGTAACATTATGAACGTTCATGTTGTCTCGCTCCACGTCTGGAATCAAACAGATAGATAGATAGGCATTAACAATTAACTCATGCCATGAAGTATGACAGGCTTTATGGGTGATCAAGTTGGGGGTGGAAGTTAAAAGTATCTACACAACCATTGGCATTGCTAGCTAATTGCTAGCTAATAAGAATATTGAACTGTTTTCTTTTAAATTTTGTTTTCATGAAGTTCAGAGAAAGACGAAGTATTAAGATCAACATAAGACTAACATGTGCAACAATGCTACATTTTACAGGACCTCCAGCAACAATGGCTTTTGTAACAGCTGTTTTTGTAAGGTCCTTACCGTTAGGTAGCTAGCAAATATTAGTCAACATATATAAAGAAATCACGAGGGAGAAACAACGTAGAGGAATAAGTTTAAATGATGCTATATCTTTTATTTGGTAGCTAGCTAAGTAGCTTGCTTGCTTAGTAGCTAGTGACACTTATTCTATGTATGTTTGGTACGCTCAGACGGATCAAGCAAATCTGAATTCTTAGCATTGTACCAGGGCGAAAAGTTTCCTTAATGTCAGCTGGTGTAGACCGGCAGTTGCAACACCATGGGTAACGTCAGCTTGCTTGTGAAATTACTCTTCAGAGTTTAAAGTTAATGATAGTTGCTAAACGGGATGTAATAGCATTGAGAGGCTAGGCTGACTTTAGGAGGTTTACCCGTGACTTCCTGTCACCTTTCTATTTCAAGAGAGGCTGTGTTCCTCTCAATGGGATTTCACAAGCAGACTCGAGTAGCTAGCTTCGCTTCAATGGTATGGTTGTCTTCTACTACGTCATGCTGTGCTCACTAATGTTTTTTAGTTTGGATCAGCTGAAGCGTATGCATGTCCTGCATTTGGGAGCTGAAGCGAGCACAGTAAATTAGATTAACCAATCAGATCGTTCAAGTTCAAAAGTGAATCTGTTGGTGTGTGTGTTTGTGTGTGTCTGTCTGTATGTCTGTCTGCGTAGAAGAACTCTTAAAATTAAAACTGCTATGCGGTTTCAACATCCAAAAGCCGTGGTCTTTACTCATCATTTTAAAGTTATGTGAGAGTAGCCATCACACCAAGACGGAACCTGTCCTGTAGCGAGTACAATTACATCCCAAAGTTCTTTTTTCTATTTCGCGGAATTTATGACGATATACAATTAACAACGGCGTTTTGCATGTCCCACTGCTTTTAAGAGTGAAAGTGTAAGTGTTATGATTAAAAAGTCGTGTCCAACAACACACATGAAATTTGTTGAGAAAGTAATCAGAACGTTCTAATCACGTGGTTTTTGTAAACTGCGACTTGAGAAGTCATCCTAGCGAAGGCGGATTTTGCAGTAATAACATTTACCACTAGAGGCAGTAGAGGACGAAGAAAACATCATCAGACGAGTCGCAGCCCATGTCAATAGTGCCTGTTTGTATACGTGGCTGTCATATCAGCGCTTGAAATAATCGACGAACTCATTGAGATGATGGGGTCTGCCTCAGTGCTGACAGGGAGACTGCAAAATAAAATTCGCAGTTGATCATAGCAACCATTTAATTGGTCAGGATTGGACGATTCCAGTGGAAGACATTCTCAGCAAGGCTATGATGTTCACAAACACATGTGATGTTCCTGAGGTAAATGCTGTTTGATGGCAAATGTTGATTTGCGCAATGGCAAGATCTATGTCAAATTCATTTAAAATAGTGTCACTGCACCCTCTACAAAAGATATGTTTTTGATAACTGTTTGTAGATACAGGTTAGGCTGTGTTTTGATGCCTAAAGCTCTGCCCACTTTGCATATATCAGGTTCGCTGATGGGCTCCCCATGGTGGGAACGGTTCCCCCTGCTGTCAGACAATGGCACTGTGCGCAAGGACAACAGCTGCTTCAGTGCTACAGAGGAGAGCACAGTGCTTCGGGGGGTCAGCTTTGGCGGTGTCCCTGTTGTGCTGTTGCTTGACTTCATCGTCTTCCTAGTGAGTGTGCGCTTCGTTTTGGTATGGGGGGTTGGTAGGAGTGCGGCTGTGTCAATCATATCTGCCTGGCGCAGGGCAGGGTGTAAACACAGGGTGATAGCTGCAATACCATGCTGTTTACTGGCCAGCGTTCAGCAATATGTCCACCTTTTACTCTAACCACTCTGTCATCATTGACCTGATTATTAAATTGCTGTTGGCAGAAGACAGCATATTTAAGGCACCAATATGATTAGATATTGATTGCTAATATATATTGGTATAGGGAAAAAGAGTTACTGTCTCACAGCACAATACCAAGTCCCTTTTTCACATATGCCAGTAATAGTTAACTAACTGCATTTACTGCAAGTGACTGGCCAGCAGACATATTACGCAGCGATTGTTTGCTTGCTAGAATAGATTGAAAAACCCATGTTAAACTCGGCTGAGTAGGGAGTTGCCTACAGTTATACCAGTGCCCTTCTAGCTATGCCCTTATTTCAGTGGCAGGTTTTGTTCCTGTGATTGTAAGTAAGTTATGTGGGAATGCAATTTATCGAAGTAGGCAGTTCTTCTTTCTGGGTTC